GCAGGAGCACCGGATAATGAGGCTTTGAGCGCCTGGCCGTAGGCTTGGAGGGCGGGCACGTCCTCCTTTTTGGCTGCCAAGAGGGCGACGGGGTCCCCCACCTTCGCCGAATCTCCTTCGCCCGTCAATATCGAGGCGAGTACGCCGCCTTCGAAGGCTTCCACGTCCATGTCCGCCTTGTCCGACTCCACCACCATCACGGTCTGGCCCGCTTTCACGCTGTCGCCCACTTTGGCCGTCCAAGCCACGATTTTCCCGCTGGTCATGGTCGAGGACAAGGCAGGCATGGCCACCTCCGCAAAGTCAAACGTCGGCTTGGACGGCGCGTTCGCAGCCGCCGGGGGCGCCGCCGCCTCGGGCGGAGGAGACGCCGGGGCAGCGCTGACACCACCTCCTAGACTCGCACCGCTTGCCAGGGCAGCCTTGACCTTCTCGACGTCGGCCTCGTTGTCAACGAGCAGGGCGCAAGGCGCACCCACCGGGGTCGCCTCCCCGGCCTTGGCCAGAATCGCGGCGACGTACCCGCTTTCGAAGGCTTCCACGTCCATGTCGGCCTTGTCCGATTCCACCACCATGATGGTTTGCCCGGCTTTGATCTTGTCCCCTACTTTGGCAGTCCATTCCACAATTTTCCCTTCGGTCATGGTCGAGGACAGAGCAGGCATGGCGATCTCAATCGCTTCCGCCATGGAAAGCACCACGCGGGAAGCCTGGTGTTGTTTCAGTGGCTGGAAAAGAGTGCGGACAGCCATTCGCCCTGGAATGAACGCCATGCTGGCTTGCGCGAGGAGGACCAAGGCCAAAAGCCCCGCCCCCACGGCTTTGTGGGTTAGGGTAGTCTGTCTCATCCTGTTTTGTGAGAGGTGTCAATCCGACAAATGAATGAAACGCTACATCTATGGCTCGGTGACATTGTATGGTGGTGTTCAGGAAGGTGGTTGCGCAAAGGCATTATTTTAGCAGGTTAAAAATAGCCCCCCATTGCCTTCGGGTTTGGACGTCGTATACGTCGCTAGCCTCTCATCACCCTAGGCATATAATGCCTCTAAAGATAAAAGCACCTCCCCCCAAGAAGTCAAGCACAACGCACAAGACTCATGCCTGCGAACACATCTTCTCCATGGACGCGGGAACCATGGGGCATGAGTCAAACAGTGCGGGCAGTGACGAGGCCTTGAAAAAAGGGAAAAAAAGGGTCGGGAAGGACTCGCCTAATTGTCAGCTTGGGCTTCTTTAGATCGTCTTGGCTCTCGGATAGGGGCGCAAGCATTTTCACCACCACCATTACCTCCCAACACCACATTGACCTACACGACGATTGGTCACGGCACTGTGATGTCGACAATGTGGAGGGTGTGCGGACGGAAAGGACGTTTGGCACCGGAACCCCCCCCGCAGGGCCGGGCCCTGGTTTTTGACGCTTGTCCTTGGCGGTGGTCGAGTCGGCGCTCCCCGCGCTATAAGTCCATTAGTCGATGTGTCCATCGCTGGAATATCCAGGAGCAGGAAGGCCCCGGGTGGTGGAGTCGTCAAGCAGGCGGCTTCTTCACGTTGACTTTTGCCCGGTCATTGACTCGAGGGGTTTTACTGAGTGGCTTGACCATGGATTCCATTAAATGTCAGAACCCAAGCGTATATGCGGGCCAAATGCCTGATTTTTTTTGTTTCCTATCGCCCTCGGGTTGTATTTTTGTGCAGGAAAAAGCGGGGCATACTGCACACAAGCAGAACAATTTCCCTTCGTCCTGAGGTGCCCAATTACCATCATTGCGGCCTTGGTGGAAGTCAAGCTGCACATGGCAATGTCCTTTTGTGCATCTACCCGCCCGACCACGACGTTGATACTATTTGTCCTCTTGAAAGTGGCCACGACCTTCGCTTTCATCCCCCCTTCTCTACCATTTTCGCTGCCCTTTAACACTCCAACCCTTTTTCACGCACGGCGCGCGCCCTTTGAAGCTTGTGGTATCCATGCACAAAGGCCGCTTAATCGCTTGGCCGGTGCCGGCAATGATGGTTGGAACGACGAAGAAGACGTCCGCTTCTCGGGCTTGTCCAAGCACATTGACACCGGCTTTCTCAAGGTACGCGGCTCTTCGTTTCCTCGCCCGTCGGACTGGCACAGGCATTGTCTTTTCCACCGTTGAAGATCGAGCTTATGCCGCCTTTGAACCCCAGTCTGAAAACCTCCTCTGTGTACGTCGTCAAAGGTCCCCTAAAAACGGTCCCCGAAGTCATAGGAC